TGGTAAATTGCATGTTCTACTAGGTGTAAAGTAAAACATGCAATGCTATGAACCTCCCTCCACTCATGTCTTTACTTTTATTTTTTTATTCACAATCGAGAAGCTCTTGGCAAACATACACATGGTGATAATAAGACCGAAGGTGGAAGCGAGCTTCACCCGGAATCCTCAACGATAGAGGAACAGGCTATCTTCAAGTGACAGCCCTAACTGTAAAGGGTTTAAGTATTGTTCCCTCGTCCCTGCAAATGAGTTAAGGTCCAACAAGGTAATGTACAAGATTTAGTCCTTACAGCCGTCTTTGAAATAATCATTTGTAACAAGATATGAGGGTACAGAACACAATAATAATAATTAGACGCAAATAAGTTGTCTCAGTTAAAATTTACGTGATAAACCAACAAGCACTGACGGAAAATATTTTGATTAGGAATAAGTCAAAAGTTTCTTACACAATTTTTCCCTAAGTGTAAAAAATAAAAGCTGTGCATCATCATCATCATCATTTCAGCCACAGGACGTCCACAGCTGAACATAGGCCTCCCTCAATGATTTCCACATCGCTCGGTTCATCGGTTGGTAGCGGCCTGCATCCAGCGCCTTCCTGCCACCTTTATGAGGTCGTCGATCCTCATAATGCATTATAATAAAACTGTACAGTTACTAACGAACTTATGTTGTTTTATGTTATTTGACAATTTGTAGAAAAATAGAAAATTAACGCGCAAAGGTGGATTGCTGATGAAAATCTTGATGAAAGATAAAATAACATAAAAAGTTTTTCTATTCTCTTGTAATTATTAAGAATTTTCTTTTGCGAGATTGAAAAAAAAAGCTTATTAATTCAAAAGTCTGTTTTTGATGGGTCATATCATGCAGCTCAGTTCATACGAAAACGTATGACTACATTTTAAACACAGTAGCCCATAAAAAATTCATACTGAAAATGTTACCTTTACCATTTCATCGCATAACTTTAAATCACACTAAACTCTATTTACATTCACTATTCGTGAATTCTGAGCTTAAACTAATCCCACAGTTAAGTTCCAAATAAATCCACGCGTCCGTCCCATTCACACGATCCAGTACTTCAGGGATTCAGTTTTAATTAAAGCCTGCTGTTTTACCTCTAACATGACATGCAAAATGCAAACGCATTTTTACTGAATCGTACGTAGATCATCGAACAAAAGTTTATCAATATTCATACGTCCATTCACCATAATGTGCACACATATCCGGCTCGAAGGACCAAAAAAGTGGTGGCTCGAATGGGTCAGAGGAGTGGACTATAAACGGACTGTAATAAATATTAACGTTTACGTTTTCCAAATTTCCAATTTTCTGGATATTGAGTCATTAAGGAAGCTACTATAAAAAAGGTTTACCTACTCAATTAGAAAATCACCCAAGTCAGTCTCAGATGATTTTGGTACATTACATATTACATCTTAAAAATGTAGAGGATTTTTTCACAATATTTTTATGAAATGACCGCAGGCGGAATAACGTGTGCGCAAACTAGTGTATTCATGAAGCAATTTAAATAGCTGGCCAGCCACAACAGTTTATGAATAACACAAAATATTTAGACCTAGCACGCACGAATGTGCCAGATTGTAGTCACAGTGTTATTTCAAGCAGAAAATGTCTTTTAATAACGAAACTCTCGACACCAGACACCAGTCAGTTTAAAGTTTAACAGGATGGTGCAAACTGGCAAAATCGGATGTTGTCTACTTCACTGATGAAAAACAAAATAAAGTAGATACATACGAGTATTGAAAGAGCATTCAGTCAGATTTCCTATAAATTAATCAATGACACCTTCATAATTCATTCATTTATAATATTTATATACCTATCCATGAATTCATTCAACACTCAACAATATTTAAAAATATGAGTTTACTAGCTTTTGCCCGCGGCTTCACCCGTTTGAAATTTAGTTTGTCACATAATCGTCGTAAATTATAGCCTATGTTATTCTGAGTTATTGTAAACAATAATACTGTAAGGTTTCATCAAAATCCGTTCAGTAGTTTTTGAAAGAGTAACAAACATCTATCCAGACATCCAAACTTTCGCATTTATAATATTAGTAGGAAGGATTATACTACGACATAATACAGTGCAAAGATTGCTATGTAATCTTCTTAGATTTAAAAATGCTCAGGCAATCTGACACTCTTAATAAGCAAACAAAATAATGACAAACTTACGCGCCAGTCAAGCAAGAAAAATATTTCACCGACACACCAACTCCATAATGAAGAAAAACAATGTTATACGACTATCAATTTGCTCAAACAAGTCTCATGCCATAAAATAGAGTTACTCTTTAACTTTTCCTTTTATGAACGCGCGCCCATATAAATAATCCCCGTATTATAACAGAAGGGATATACGGAGTTTTACAACTTACTTTACGCGTTTGTAATAAAATAACAAGCGAATTCTTACATAAAGTTGCAATCTTGGAGAAGATGACACAATAATGGTATCGTAGGTATCACTTGGCAATTTCTTCGGCAAAATCCATTAGTGTTATGACAAACGAGGATTCAATTGTTACTGGAAGAGACCTGTCTAGTAGACGACTGCATTTTATTATCTCAATGGTTGATCAATCATCTATGAATCAAGATCATCAATCGACTAATCTACTAAAAGAAATCACAATCGAAATACATGCAGAGCATCTCATATAGTCCAGTCAATGAATGCCTTAACGACGGTGTAGAGAGAAATCCGTGGAACACAATTTCTGACCTCGGGACTTTGTTTAGCCTAGTTAGGTGGTGAATATAGCAAAAGTCCCCGCCCTTAGCCCTTGAGCCGGCGGGGAGAGGAGGGTTTAAAGGTACCACTTTTCGGTTTTTCGCTTAATCCTCGGAAACTATGCGTCCTAGTGACATGACTACTATGAACCAAAAAAAGCTTAATCAATTTGCTACAGGTGAGACCGTCAAGTTTTTCTATATCTTGTATAGTTTTTGCGGCATCTGCTCTAGAAGGTCTGTAAAATTGGAAATTTTATTGTTGTCTTACATGTTCCTTTGAGGAGAAAATTGACTAAATCAACATTGAGCAAACACTATAGACATGCGGGAGCATGTTAAGCCTAGTTCCAGGGAGGGGACTGCACCGTGCGTATATTTAGACGAACCAATTAGAGCCACTTTTGACTCCTCATCATTCAAAAACTGCTGTGCATTAACACTTCAAATTTGGCTCATGTATTGAGACTTGCAAGATATACATCAGCTTTAAATTTCATAAATATACCTCAAACGGTTATTTAGGTATTGACGTTCAAAAATCGATATTTAGAGCACTAAAACCTATNGCAATAAGACAGCGGTTGAACGTAAACTGATTTATTAGCGCCCAGCGGCGTAGCTGCGAGCCTAACTACATAGGTGCATAACTATACATACATAACAGTTGCAATAAAAATAGCCTAAGATAGGTAGCTAAGTAATACATTATTATTATTCTGTGATGATAACACTGAATGCCGCTGTTTTGGCATTGGTGTGTATTCGTAACGTATTCACAGTAGGTAGGTATTTCATTGTATTATTAACTTACAATTAGTGTTAAAAGTCAGAATACCACGTAAAGAAGTACGTAAGTGTAATGAAACACTTATTAGAACTCAAAATTACTTGAAATGTTGCATTAAAATGGTCTAAGTTAGTAATAATAACACTGGAAGCGTGGTCAAGGCGTGAGCGAGACAGACAGATCAATGTGCGAGCGCGTACGACTACTCTACTGAATGAACGAGCAGCGGAGTGGCCCAGCTGCGACGCGTAAAATAGGGACTAAAGAAAATTTAATAAAAAAATAAACTTTAAATTTTTTTTTACCTTATAATTTTCACACATTTCTACATAACCTGTTAAATTTTTTCCGGTGATAAAAAAGTAGGGGTGTATACTATATTTCGAGTAGGTACGGTCAGCCTCAAATAGTTCGTGGCCAAAAAGTTGACAGCACAACCTTATACCAACTGTAACAAAGACGTGTTGCGAACTTATTGGCTACTTTGGGTGTCACGGCCTATTTGGCGCTGACTGTATATGAGCTTAAACGGTTATTCCATAATGAAAATCGAAGTACCGTTTCAATCTTTTGGTTGGGACTAGGCATGGAACATTTCATGAATAGCAGGTGAAAAATCATATGAAATGAATTTCATTAATCACACCTGCTATTTTACTTCACATAGACTGCTATAATTTCACAGTCAACGAAATCACGAATCACATGAATTTCATTCATTCATTCGAGCGAAGTCCGTGAGCGCAGCTCTGCGAAGCGACCGAGCGAGTAAGAAGGAATGATTTGATCATGTGCGTGTTAGAAAAGGACGAGAGATGTGATGACGGACAAACTGGGCATTTTAAATATGAACTTTAAACTCAAAAAGGTGTAAGGTTTAGATTTCCTTGTCACGATTCGTATGATTTCATTAGATAGCAGGCAGATGAAATGAATGATTTTTCACTAAACGCGCGGTTATTGATTATTGCATACATATACTGTGCTGTAAAACTGTTTGTTTTTTGTTGTGCGACATAAAATGAAACAGATATTGTTACATTTCAATTTAGCTAATTAGCAATCGTTCATCATAATTCACACTTAATTGAAAGTAGCACATTATATGAAAGAGCTACATTATAACACTGCGAATAAAAATCATTGCCTGTGAAATTTCACATGTGAAATCATATGAACAAAAATCATCATTTCATACAATGAAAATGAATGAAAAATAGCAATCATTTCCATGCCTAGTTGGGACATCTCCACTCGCGTTCAGGTTTTGCGCCGTAAACTACTAAATTAGGTACTTGTTATCCTAGAGTTTTGAATTATCTAAAGAAATAACTGGCTTTCTAAGATAGTGATTGTTTGTTTAGTAAGACAAACTGATATTTGTCTATGTATGTAGGAAAACTTTAATACAGAATGGAATTGGCAAAATAATTTGAGGCACCATGTATTTTATAGATGACAAACGCGAAGCTCGGAACAGTGACCGGCGTAGAGAGGAAATTGAACGCGAAAAGGAGTCTAAACGGGAATCGCGAGCGTAAGTTCAAAAAACCTTTGTAATTTAATTACACTTCTACGCTTATCGGTTCGATATTTCTGTACTACAATTTTTTGCACAGAACTGTGAAGGAGCGCACGAAGGAAGAGATCAGAAGCAAAGACAGATCACCTCGAGAACGATCACACAGGGTAAATAAATTGAATAATAAACAAATGTAACAAAATGAAAAATCAAAATCGAGGACTTTTGGATATGTATTGATTTATTCCATGTTTTAGGAGGAACGTTACCTGGAGACCGTATCCCCTCCGCATGAGCATCGTCACCCCTCTTCCGATGACGTTGAGCGAGGTACAGATTGCCCATTCGTTTTTACGTAAAGTTCGTTTCAAAAAATGTATTGTTTTTTACAGATAATAATAATTAATGTTATCGTTACAGATGTGAAGCGTCGTAAAGTAGAAAACAGCGGCAATGGCAAGGTGAGTATCGTTGTAATAAGTCGCCGTGGCGCAGCGCTCGCGCCGGACTGAGGCTGGGCTGGATCGCGACCACGCACACGACGCTCTGTGTATCTGCTGCCAGAACACACTCCAACTGCGCGTCACTGTGAAAAAAGTGAATGGAAAGCGACAAGAACTCTAGAAATAAAACAGTGTAAAATTAAATCAAAACTTGATAACGACGATCTGATGAAATTATACGATGGAAATCAAAGCCAAGATTTATACAACTTAATCAAATGCACGAACTTGCTTGAAATCATAAAAGTGAATCGGGAGCTAAAATCTTATTTCTTCTACTGATTGTTGATTGAATACAAGGAAACAATGATACAAACCAAGGAAACAAAATTATATGGATGAATAATTATAATATGAACACCAGAATTTAATTAAAATGTTCAACATTCTCCCGAACTAAACACGTTTCTACTATTAATCGAAGAAGACTACTCTACCTAGCACATTAATCAACTAAGATTTCACAAAATTATTCCCAAAATATTTACATCCACAAATATAAAGCTTGCTGCAAATCATTTTAAGATACATCTACTTACTCATTTTGAGAAGATACTTTGGAGGAAATTCAGCTCTATCTATATCAACAAGTCAACTGAAACAAGAAAGAATTCAGGAAGATTTTACTTGAACAATACTCAGGAAATGGGTTCAACGGTGTGTTGGAAGATTTCAATGAAGAATTAGAAACTTGAAGACATGAAGAGAGATTTCAAAATATAAATGCATTCTGATTATCATGTATTTATGAAATAAAGTGAGGAATCACAAGCGTGTTGTGAGTCAGTTTATTCAGCCCAGTCCATTGTATTCGGGTAAGATTATTATTTCTATGAATCAAAAGCTGCACTGAATGAAGTTTAACGTAAGGACAAAAGGAACAGGCGATAATTCCACAATAGAGATGGCGTACAAGAAAGAAAAGGGAAACCACTGAAGACACAATCAAGCATATTATGTGAAGATACTATGTAATAAGATAATATTGAAAGTAAGAGTACGAGTGATGGAACCTTAGTGTTAGTGGGATATAAAATGAATTTAAAGGAAGACATCTTGCAGACATTACGACAAGGTTAGCTACAGAACAAGAACAGAAGTAGCCACATCAATGCATCTTCAGAAAGAATACTAAGACCAACTACATTGGATATTGTGCGCGTCAACCGTAGATCAAACGCCAAAATATCAAGAGCGAGCTGCACGTGACCTTACGTTATCTTCACTCGTTGTCTCTTTTGATTCTATTAATTGCGTAATCTTTTTTTTCTTAAATGTATTTATTTAATATCTTAGTGTTCAATTTGAATTTACGTTTTTTTTATATTGTATGCTAACATGAATTTTCTGCGTGAGCAGGGTAGCAAAGAAATAGAGGAACGTTCGCCTGAAAAAGAAAAGCGGAAAGCTAAAGTCCGAGGAGATGAACGTAAAGAGCGTAAGATGAGCCGAAAGAGGGTGAGTATTCACGCAATTGCTTTGATAAATATGTATTGTATAGATTACGACGGTTTCCGGCCGCTCGTTCAAAACATTTTGTGATTTTATACATGTCTGACTCATTTATTTTACACCTGTTGTAAACAAATATTTAACTTGACTAAGTCTTTCGTAATATCACCTTTTTAGGGTTCCGTAGCCAAAATGGCAAAAACGGAACCCTTATAGTTTCGTCATGTCCGTCTGTCCGTCTGTCCGTCTGTCCGTCTGTCCGTCTGTCNGCCACGTAATTGTGACAAAACACCACAGAAACAAGACTCGCAGAGCGAGGGCGATAAGCTCGAGGAACTCGGAGCGCAGCGAATGCGAGCGGGCGGGCGAGGCGGAGCGCACGTCCGTACCGTGCGAGCGATGCGAAGCGAATGATGCGAGCGATGCGAAGCGAAGCCTGACTTCTAGGCCGGCTCGCACGCCTTTTATAGCCAGCCGGTGAGCGCGTGTGACGTACGCGGCGGCGTGCGGGGTCTCGGGGCAGGGTAAACCGGCTGCGCGCGCGCGTAGTCCCCTCGCTGTGACGTAGTGGCAGGCTCGGCGCTTGTCGCTCGAAGTAAATAAAAGGGCGCGCCGTGTTACAACTGATAATTATTGGAACCTGCTTTGTAAACACAATGTCATAAAGGTCTTTGGTTTAAAAAAANTTCACCTCCTAACTAGTCTAAATAAAGTCCTGAAGTCAGAAATTGTGTTCTACAGTTTTCCATCTATAATGCTTTATTGACTGGACTAGACAAAAACGTCAAGTAATAATAGCTTGAAAGGTTTTCCCCATCGGTTCGGCACGTCCTGAAAAAGCATGTAGAATTTACCTAATAATAAGTAGCATAAGAAAAGCTCAACATTGTGTATTCTTAAGCCTTGATCACACGTACCGAGTGAACGGGCGAGACAGTAAAATGTTTACTCGATCGAGACAGTGATGTAAGCGAGTAGCTGTTCACACGTGTTTTGAAATTAGCACAGTCAGTTCAGTTCTATTGAGACTTTTCTTTTTCTCTAATCTGTGGACGTGACGTCAATCATTTGGCCGAGTAGCGAGTGGCGAGACAGTGCACGTTCAGACCTGCCGAGCGAGCGAGCGAGACAGTGCGAGGCAGCGGGAGCGTGGATACTCGGATACTCGGCCTAATAAGTTGAACGGGAGTCGAGCTACTGTCTCGCCGCTTTGCTCGGCCGAGCACTCGGCCGATCACTCGGCGCTATGTTCATACGCACCGAGTACTCGGCCGAGAGCACTGTCTCGCCCGATTACTCGGTACGTGTGATCAAGGCTTTACAGATCTTCGTAGCTGACGCCTATCCTGATAATGACAACGAAACTTTAAGGCTGGGTTGCACCATTTTACTTTAACTTTGACAAATGTCAAAAATCTGTCAAACTCGATACCATAAAACACCGGTTATCGTAATAGTTACGGTCAAAGTTAGGTGGTGAAACTCGGCCTAAGTGCAATTAACAATAATTTAATAATAAATGACTTCGTGTTTCTATTCACTGATAAACCTTTAACTAAATTTAAATCTCATCAGTATATTCACCTGCTTTCAACTCACATTGTACAATCTAGATTAATTTTATACTTACAATCATATAGGCATAATTATAGATTCTTAGTAACGAACTCCTATACTTCAAATTTCAAAATTAAACAAGTACGGTTTAGGCTGAGCTTAATTTGAGAAATGAGTAATACAGTAACTGCTAACTTTTAGAGTTATGTATCAATTTAAGTCACAATGTTTCTCATTATTCACGTTTACTCACCTGCGCCACATCTAGTTATATCTTATTAAAGTTCCATATGCTACAATTTGTCGCTGGTAGACGCATTAAAAGGAATATCATTTCACTAATGGACTACATGAGCCCACGGAAAGCAGGGTCCCACGGCGCTGTTTTGTTTTTGGGGCCGTGACGTGTGAGGAATAAAAATATGATGTTCCCGGCATAACTGTCAACATTGTCAGGTGTCAACGTTAAACTGTGTCGACGGAATTTAATGGAGCTTAACTAGAAGACCACGTTCTGCTTTCACGAAATAAAAGGTTGATAAAAAATGTTAAGGTGTTTTGATTGCTGATTTTTTATTTTTTTTGTACACGTATTGCCTCCCACATCTCGTCAAGAGGTTCACAGATCCCTGCAAGGATTCTTTGACTTTCTTCAGGTGTACGTTAAGTTGGATGACGGATTGGGGTCTGGTGCCCTTAGTGGATGGTTAATATTGAAATATTGACTTAAAAAATAATATTGTCAGCACTTCAACTTCTATTAGTCTAATAGCGTACAGTCGGGATAGCGATACATATTAGTAATAGCGTCCTTTAGTGGTAGGTGCCGGCATTAAGAACCATTGGCCCGAAATACCAAATGAACCACAATTTTACAGTTGGATTATTCTTAAGCCAACTTTAGGGTTGGATTGGGGCTAGTTATAATTAAAATATCCACATCCTTTCCTGGAAATTATTACCTTATCTAAACAAACTTCACGCAAGTAACGTATATTCCGTGGGCAATATAATTTGTCTTCATTACAACATACGCGGGAGAAACCGACATAATTAGGAAATTCTGCTCGATTATAATTATTGCGTAATTTCACAAATTATTTATTTATGTGCCTTATTCATAGAAGTTTACGTGAAAGTTAAAGTAAACTGAATTAAATTCATCGCTTTGACTCGACTCGGTGTTTCTACTGATGTGGAACTACTGACCTTTTTAAGTAAGTACTCGATTTTTTCAAGCAAAAGGACACTCAATTATTTACACACTCAAAAAGCTGCTTAGTTTCTATGAAATCTTTCATTGAAAGGTAAGGCTCGTAGGTGAGTGAAAATTGTGATTTTTAAATAGACATAAAGATAGATAGTAGTACATACATAGATAGATAAACCATTCAAAAAAAAATAATCAATAAAGAATGTTTATTAATTTATCATCTTTAAGTTTTTGGAAATCGCTCATTAGAAGGGGAAATTTTTCCGTGGTATCTAGAATAGTAAATAATAATAATGTATTTTATACATTCTGCAATGAACCACTCCACTTGCTCTTATTATAAAAGACACTCAAAAGCATAATTTTATTGTTGTTATTCTGATGACGTAGTTAACAACAAATGTCCCATCGGTATTGAATCGGCACAAAATTCTGCTTGTCTCTGTCAAAGCTTTGAGAGCCTTCCAAGGAGTAGCGACGCGACCACAAATAATTTACACTTACCACGGTATTCTCACCCTTATATCTTCGACGCTTAGTGTCAATTTCGCTCAGCAAATCTTAGAGGAAAGTAGAACATTTTGGGACTTGATAAAGCGTTCGTCACAAACAATGGCAGAAGAAGTTTGACAAAACACAAGATAAAGATGAAATATAATTTTGATAATGGAGTCAAATTTGTTAGATCTCGTACCTAGCCCTCGTATTTACTCGACTGCGCCAGAAGGAGGTTTATTGTTCATTATGTCCATTATACGTAGCTTAAATGCATTCAATATACAATTGAGAAAATATTAATTTAAACGCTAGTATCCCAAGTATATACAAAGAAAGCGTAAAAAAGAACGAAATGAAAATCTTAAGCCTTCTACTTTTCAGTTGAAAAAAGTGTTTTTTCATGACTGGAAAAAAATGCGAAAGTAATATAGTAAGAAAATTGTTCCCAACTTAAGTACGACAGTTCGTCGGACGCCAGAGACTAGTACGACGAAACTTTTTAATAAATCTCCTAAGAAAATAAAAGGGCACTAGCTTACCTTTTCAATTAGGTTTTCATTATACACTCCCTAAGGTATCCTTTGTTGGACATTAATATTCGTCATAAATTGTAATTTGTAATGCCTATTTTGCAGGTATATTAAAGAACTTGCCAATACATAAATAGGTAGCGTTAAAATTAATAACGCAATGGAATTATCGTATTTACCTACCTAAATCATTCAATATTTGAAATGCAAAAGAAATTACTCACTATAGTAGGTAAGTTTCATGCCTAAACTGCAAATTCAACCAGGTTTTAGTTGCTCATTGTTACATTACGAATATCTTAGGTAGGTATTCGTTCTTAGTAATTTGATTTGCTACAAAACCCAATGAAATGCTAGAAATTTGTTTGTTGTACCAAATAAAGAGAAAAAAAACCACTTTCAATATGGATTATGGATGTTCCTAATGAGATGACGCGAGACTGGGTGTCTCTCTTGCAATGGCCACGTGTATACCTTATCGCAATATTAGTAATAATAACATTAGCAGTTCATTCAGTTAAATAACAAAACAACATTCAATGTCTCATTGTGATTTCTATCCTCGTATTTAAATCAAAAGTAGTAAAGTTTATTTCTAAACTAGCGGCCGCCCGCGACTTCGTACGCGTGGATCCCGTTTTACCCCCTTCCTCTATCTTACGCGGTTTAGATTTTTTCATACAAATGTTTTTTCCCGGTAACTCCCGTTCCCGTGTGAATTTTGCAATATCCTGTTGTAACTAAGCTTTAAGTTTACTAAGGTACCTGCATGCCAAATTTCAAGCGTCTAACTTATACGGTATAGATTTTTCTTATAAAAGGATTTTCCCGCTAATTCCCGTTCCCGTGAAATCCTAAGTATACTATAACCTGCCCAGGAGTATGAAAAATAATTGTTCCAAGATTCGTTAAAATCCGTCGAGTAGTTTTTGTTTCTATAAGGAACATACAGACAGACAGACAGACAGACAAACATTTTACTGATTGCATTTTTGGCATCAGTATCGATTACTAATCTAATCACCCCCTGATAGTTATTTTGAAAATATATTTCATGTACAGAATTGACCTCTCTACAGAACAGATTTATTTATAAGTATAGATAAATATAACAATACTTAAGAGTCACTTTCCCTTATTTTTCCTGTAAACAATAGGTACATATTAAAGTGACGACGATGTTTTTGAAGAGGCGGATAGACGCAATCAAAAACAAAACTTATTACTGACCAAGTTTCAAAACTTTTTCCATGATAACACAACGAAATATTATTTCCACTTGCATGTCATGTATTTATACATGTGACATAACTGAATTGGGCACAGTAAGCTTCGCGTTGTAAACTAGTGAAAT